CGGGATTTGAGAGAATCATCTTTAATTTTGAACAAAAGGTCTCCTGTGGGTAAAATGCTGTTAAACAACATCCCATGCTACAGAAAAGTCATTCATGAAAGGAAGAGTAAATCATTGCAGCCAGCTTCACTCTCTTACTTAAGAAATTAGCATAGCCAACCCAGTCCTCAGTAGTAACCATACAGATCAGCCAGCAGTCATCAGCATCAATCTAGGCGAGACCCCTCAGCAGCCAAAAGATGACAACTTGCTAAAGGCTCAGACGATAGGTCGCAACTTTTAGCAAAAATGTGTTTTCTATAGCTCAGGTTAATTGTAACTTTTATATGTGCTGGAGAACCAGAGATTTTGTGTGTCTTGCTTCATGGTGATATTTGCTTTACTGCAGTGGTCTGAAACCAAACCCACCATACCTTTGGGGTATAACTACATATAATCATTCACTCTCTGAAATGAAATGTCCCTATTTTATCTGGTTCAGTTGAAGTTTTTAAACATCTGGGTGCTCAACAAAAAATGGAAACTATTATGTCAGGTTGTGTTCCTGATTAATTTGAAAAGATAATAGAAATCATTTGCCATTTCATAGATAATATATTCTTATATCATATCTTAATTATGTAGTCTTTCATTTCACCTTTTCCTCTGTTCCTGTCCATGGCAACATCAATTGAATTTATTTCTGTATTAGCTATTATAATTTAATGGGATAAAATAGACATAGTTGCTTCTAAGTCTTTTAATATTTTTTCTTCTTTTCTGAAGCTCATTTTGCATGTCCCTATTAACTAAACTGCACATTCTGTGCCAAATTTTACATTTTCATTATATTTTCTATACAAAATTGCCATTATTCATACTTCATAATAGCATGTCAATTTACAAATAATAAGAAATATCATAATTGATTTTTCTCTCATGAACTTCAGAAATAACTAAGCACAGATAAACATAATGGGTCTAATAATAATAGACATGAACATTTATATTGTGAGAAATGATTGAACTTAAATCTTAAGTTAAATTGGTCAATTGTTTCATGAGGTAAGACTATTAGTGAAATCTAAATTTATTTTGTGTCTCTAGTCAGTCTTTTAATATGTTTTTTTGTGTGTTTGAAATCTATGCATTTATTTTTATTTTTTTAAGCTAGGAATATTTTTCCATGCATTTGCTGAATAGAAACATAGAAACTCATAGCTGTAAATGTATTTACAAGTTATTTAGTTTGACTTTAACCTGAAAACATGTATTTCTCTCTCTCCCCTCCCCTCTCATCTTAAACATCTCTAAATCTCCTTTTGCCTACTCTTGCCTCGTGACCGTGGCAAGAGTGGGCAAAAGTGCTGTGCTGTGTTCTGTGCTGTGTTTTATTTAACAAAATTATAAGCTACTCACAACTGATCTTCCAAATATTGTTCTTTCACTCACCTGAAACTTATCTTTACCTCTATAGAAATTATGTTACAACATCAAAAAGCAGATTCTTCTCTTGTCTCAGTTTAAATACCACATCATTTTGAAAATAATTCCTCACTGCACTAGAGAAATGCATATTCTAAATTCTATAAATAGGGTTAGTATTTTAAAATAAAATATTGTGTTTTGTTATAACAAATATTATATAATTATATATCATAACATATAATTGCATGTGTAATGTAATTACACACGTACAGTGTATACCCGCACATCACTCAATGACTCTAAAAGACCTGTGCATCAAGTACTATAAGACTAAAGAATAAAACCTTGTTTAATGGCTCCAGGGTTGAATCAAAAGTGTCTTCTTATTATCACAATAGCTTTTCTTAAGAACCTTGAAATGCTTTGCAACTTTAAAAGTGTAAAAGTTTGGAAAATCCTAGATTCTACTAATTTAAAAAAAATCTGGCTAGACATTGCCATAAATATGAAGATGACCATGGAAATAAATAATGAATTTACTTGCCCCCAGGGAAGAAAAAACACATTAAGTATTAGATACAAGGTGGGGCAAAAGTAGTTTATAGTGGTTCATATAGAAAAATAATGCAATAATTAATAAATAATAAAGCAAGGATAAGCTCTGTGTTTCATATACTCACTACTTTAAATCTATTCTTTCCCCACCTTGTATAAATAGGGTGAAATCTAAGCTCTACAGTTATCATTCTGATTCTCAGTGAGCTCATTTGTAAATGATAATAATAACATTAAACACAGAAGGATATTGTAGAAATCAAATGGGATAAAATATATGTTGTATATGTTTTGTAACCAATAAAAGAAATAAGTATGTGTTAGTTCCTATTCTTCTGCTCTTATTTCTTTTCCAGCTGTTTATGGGAACCTGCAACATCGCTCCATTCAAGACATTTTTACAATCCTCCAGTTCGGAGGGCAAACAGGTAAGCAACACAAATTTACAGAAGAAATAGTTCTGTACATGTTCCTATCTGGCTAACCTGGATTTTCAGACACACTGCATTTTCCACTAGCTTTAAGACCTTTGAAAAACCTCTTTGAATGTGGTTTTCCTTGGTGCAACATAATTAATAATCCCTAATTTGCAGCTGTCCCTTTAAGTTTAGAAATATTATATGGAAAACACTTATAATGACATGCAATTCATTAATATTACTTACAGATGTAATAACTCTGCCTATAACCAAAAGCATTTTATGAAAAGAAAATGTTTTATTTTTTCCTCCTGTATATTTGTTGTTTGAAAGTATATATAAAGATATTTGTAGTAACTCCAATTCTAGAGGTGAAGAATGAAGATAGATATATGCTATGTTTGTTTATAAGAAGTTAACTTAAAGCTTTTTATTAGATAAAACAAGTTACATATTTTTTTTCTAATGATAATACGTACATTTCACTAAGCAAGATAAAGCAGCTGAACCACTAAGAATGTAAGCTCCATGTGCAATGTGTAGCCTTAGGAACAAATGCACCAGTAAGGTGGTCATGCTGGTCTGATGAAGTAGTTGAGATGAGATGGACAGGCAGGAGCATCTCTTAGTTTTGATAACAAGACAGTGGGGAAGAGGGTATGAAGGAACGGCATGTCATGAAAAGATGGAGCTCTGGTTACATTCTTGATCTCCTCTGGTGTGTGTCCTACTGTTTAAGAGGATTTTGAACGCCAGGGTAACTCTTAGCTTCCCATATTTCAACAAACAGAGACCGATTTTCACAGCATGTCTCATTGGATAACGGCTATCTATTATTGGCTAATGGTCATCACTGACCATTTCTATCCTGAGAGAGAATCCCCAGGCTTTGAGTGTATCTGGCATTGGAACCTAAAGTGGAAGATACAAAAAAATTCAGGGCTTGGCTTAACAATGTATTCTTTGTTCAGTTATTTAAATGCATGTTTCTCTTCCTTTTGTAAGATAAGCTTATATATTTTGTTTAGGCAAGCCTCTCAAATTTCTTTCTCTCTGATTTTACTCACGTATTCAGGAGTCAAATGAAACACAATTATTACTTTAATTATAAAGCTTCATTTGTTTTTCCAATAACTATACAGTGTTTTTTAACTTCCCATATTTGAAATAATATGACCATATCTCCCACTTCTTCACTTCCTATAAATACACCATGATTGTTTGTCATGCTTTTCTGATGTCCTAATCCCCTGTCTTTCATCCTTAGCAATATGTGGATTAGTAGAAGTGTTGAGGTGGTTTAGATCCACGTGAAAGATCAGGTGGATGTTATAGGCCCCCACACCCCTTATATGTGAAGTATGCACACAATTCTACCTATTGTTTCAGAGGTAAGAGCTACCTTCAAGCTTGGATAGCCTGAGAAGCAAGAGCCCCTAGATTAACAGTTTTGTGCCTAGATAATTTTGTAACATTACAAGACTTGGAATGAGGGGAAAACAGTTACTCTTAGAAGCAAAGTGGATTTGGTGTTTTATCAATTCACCTGTGTCCTAGACCAATAAAATGAGGTGGTTGTTTCCCTTGGTGGCTGGGTTCTCCTTAGCCCCAGTTTAAGATTCCATAATTTTGCCCTGGCTGGCGTAGCTCAGTGGATTGAGTGCGGGCTGTGAACCAAAGTGTTGCAGGTTCGATTCCCAGTCAGGGTACATGCCTGGGTTGCAGGCCATGACCCCCAGCAACCGCACATTGATGTTTCTCTCTCTCTCTCTCACTCCCTCCCTTCCCTCTCTAAAAATAAATAAGTAAAATCTTTAAAAAAAGATTCCATAATTTCAATTGCTTAAATACTGTTACTTTATAACCTTGTATCATTCAGCAATATGTCTTGTCTACCCATTTGAAGTTTAAAATCTCATGCCTTGAGCCTTAAAAATTGCTATAAGGATGTATTTACCTCAGAGAATGATGATATCATTGCACGATAGAAGAGATGGACAGATAAGTAGAGTGATGTAGATAGATTAATCCTTAAAACAACACAGCAAAAAAAAATCTTCTAGATACTGTATGGGGATTAGGTACTTTACATATATTACTCAATTTGGTCCTCACAGAACTTTCAGGTGCTAGCATCATTTTATTTTATAATGAATAAATTGAACATCAGAGAAGTTGAGTAACGTTCTCATGTCATGTGAACTTGAATGAATCAGTGGCGGAGATGGGATTCAGACTCATCACCCATCATTTTTCCACCATCAAATTTACCATTAAAATATTTAATTAAAACTAAAAATAAAACTGTGAATAAATAATGATAAATGGTCTGTGATGTTTGCAATAAATAAACAAATATAAAAATGACAAAGGAGAGTCATAAAACTTAGTTTGAAAAATGGTTGGGCCTTGTGCCTTCAAAGGTGTTTGTACATGTGTGTGTTTGCGTATGCACGACCTGTGTACATACTCATTCAACATTCCAGTTTTCTCGAATGCTTTATGAGTATGAGCTTATTTTTAAAGTTATTCTTATTATTTTGAAACTTTGGACTGTTTAAAACGTATTCATATTTTTTTCTTAGTGCAATGCAGCCATGAAACCAGCATCCCAATTACCTGTGGGGGAAGCAGTGGCAGTCTTATAAAGGCCAGAAGCATGCTCAAGTCACTGCATCTCCTCTGCATGTCATACTTGACCCACATCATTAGTGCATGGAAGATGGTCTCTTCGTCAGGAACATTCACATCATCACTGGCCAGGAGTTTATGGAGCTCCTCAGCCGGAAGCAGTAAAAACTCTTGATTTCTCATAACTTCCATTATGTTTTCCTGCAGGGAGAAAATATCTTGGTATAAATTTGGTTTCACTTTTCCTTAGCTAGCAAAGCATTTCAAAAAGCAATGAGAAAAGTAGTCAATAACCTTTGTTCTCATTATAACATAATCCTTAAGACTTAATCCTTCAGAAACTAGAAGCTGTTAAGATGAAAGCATTGTAATTGTAATTGAAGTGTAAATGTAGCCAAGACAGCACAGATCTTGTAATAACTGGGGGATTATGATGTTGAGCTTTGTTATGCAGGCAGAATGTACTAAGCGATTAAATGTTTAAATTTCAAGTGGAAGCTATGTAAGATGTTAATGTAAAAAGAGTAGCATTTCAAATTTTTTAAAGCTTGGCTATATATGCATGAATCAGAAAGTGAGAATAAAGTTGAGAGAGAAGTGACTTAAACTATTTACATCACTGTACATTCATTCAGAAGGGAAAAACAACAGGGCAGACAGTCCACAGAGGTCACAAAACCTCGCACATCCCACCCTTCTGATGGCTTTCATAATCCCACCCTTTTGTGACTGCTTCTCTGGTTTGTTTGAATCAGATTCCCACGAATTTTCTCCCAGATTGCTGCCTTAACCTTCTAATTACTGTGCTCCACTCTGTTCTTACCTCCTTTTTTGTATCCTCCACAGTAATGCTAAAACAAAATTTTTAAAACATAAATTTTCCCGTGACTGTCCTCTAAAGTTTTTGTGTAGTTTGGTTTCATTAGGTCTTCCCTTGTTCTTGATTCAGATCTCTTGCTTAAGCACACTGGTTTTTATAGATCCTGCCTCTTCCCAGTTCTAAGACCTCATTTCCTACCTTATTTACATTCCAGTCACAAAACTGCCTTTCTTTCTCATTGCCACACTGTTTGACATGTCCTTCCTCACTCATTCTATTGCTTAAAATTACGTCATCCACTTTGTTTTCCCAGTTTCTGTCTTTTTCTAAGACTCCATTCCGAAGCTACCTGTTATCTATGGTCTTCTCCACTCTCCCTTCACTCCAGTTTGAGCTGACTGCCCCTCCCACTCTCCACGGGCACAAAGCCCAGTGTTTAAATCTCTGAGAGGGCATTTCCCCAACTGCAGCCGCATCTTGGGTGCACTTGGGGGCCTTAGCACAGACTTTCGTCTCCATGAGACGAAACCCCTGCAACATAGCAGGTCAACAGTACACATTTATTGAAGAGACGTCTTTATGGTTTTTGCAGAAAAACATAACATTTTGGAAACAGTTCAGTGTTTTTCAAACACATTTAAACAACTACTTGTCCGAAGCCCTGGCTGGGGTAGCTCAGTGGATTGAGCATGTGCTGCGAACTGAAGTGTCTCAGGTTCAATTCCCAGTCAGGGTACATGCCTGGGTTGCAAGCCATGACCCCCAGCAACCACACATTGATGTTTCTCTCTCTCTCTATCTCCCTCCCTCCCCTCTCTAAAAATAAATAAATAAAATCTTTAAATAAAAAACAACCTGTCAGAAAGAAAACTGTCTTACATGTTAGCAGAGAGACCTCCGTGGCTGAGAGGGGGTTAGAGCAAAGACCTGATTGTTCTCTTTGGTCTCTCTCCCACCCCAGCATGTCTCCTGAGACATCTCTAACTAAGGTAGGTATAAGTAAGGTTTCTCAGCTTTTAACCCACATTTGTGGTAGAAATGTCAATAGGGTGCTTACATTGGATTAAAACGTGAAATCGAGTGGGACTAAATCTCTTCTAAAAACGGCATTGTGCCTATGCTAGAACAGAAGATTCAGCAAGTGCTCATTAATCTGCAGATCGGAGCAGATTCAGCTTTAGTTCTCGAAGAGTCACCTGAACCATGTCTGAGTGCATCCCTGGAATCAAATCCCAGGCTTGACATGCCTTCAGCTTTCACAAGACAGTGTCAATGTTTAATTTCTTTCAGGTTATCTGCTGTGTTTATTTACATATATTGGCATCACAGAATAGCCAATTTCCTGGGAATTGTTTTGTTTCCAGTGTTTCCTCTGTTCCTAATCCAGTGCTGTGTAAATTATGGATGCCTGATACCTGCTTACTGAGCGAACCAATTAAGTGTCCTAAAATTTAATGCCACCAAATTTCTCTAAAGAGCTACAGTGATGTGAAGGTGTTTTTTATGAAGAATTTTTGAAATGTTTTGTATATCTATTTTCTCAGTTATTTAAAAATCTTCAGCTCTGTTAAACTATGCACGGAATTGTATAGCTGCAGTATCAGGACAGAGTGAAGGGCACCAGGAAAAAGCAGCTGTGTGGGACTAACTCCTTGTGCAGGCTGTCGGACAGATACTGCCCCAGGTACATTTCACTGTATTTTACAGGGCCCTTTGTGTGATGACCCTGGGGAGACATTTCTTTTGGCTTTTGAAGAGAAATAATTCCACTTCTGAGTAAATTGGTTTGCTTTTATCATGGGTGTTGTAAATTATGAAATTGATGATATTACTATTTTTTTATTTGGGTTCCAGAAAACTTAAAGTCCAACTGAAATGTATCAAACAGGAAGGTTATAGCCTTTTATAGTTTGATTTCTTTTCCAGACAGCCCTGATAATAGTTTTGTTTAATATCACTAGAGCAGATTTTATTTTTTTTCTTTTATTTTCGTGTCCAAGTTAGAGTATACTTTCATAATTTTGTATCTGTGTGGGCCATACTAAATCTTCTTGGAGCAAGGAATGTTGCTTGTAAAATCTGCTAAAAGTAAATTGGGCAATAGGAGTGAGTATCAGACATTCCTGGATCTCATCCTTGTCCATATGTTGTTTATCTTTCTTTTGAAGTTCGGGAGTCATCTTCAGTCTTTTCCCTTTTTCCATCAAGTCTCCTTTTAATGACAATATGCCTAATATTTTCCTTTTTTGGCACTCTTGTTTGTGGAACTTGTTTTCGCTTCATCATGTTTTATTTATGAAAGAAGAAAAAATACCAGTGCGCACTGCTTCAGCACCCCAGCTTCTCCATGGTTTTCGAGGACAAATAACTTTCAATGAGAGACACCGAAACTCTTTGGCCTGCTTAACTAGTGTAAAACACTTTAAGTTTATGCAATTACTCACTGCTCATGAATTTACTGAGCACCTAATGTATGATCCTGGATAACTGCAGTGAGGACAAAAAAAATGGATTTGCAGTCTTACCCCACATGTGACATCTATAAAATGTACAGTGCCTAGAAAATTGTCATCAGTGTGTGAAAGCAGGTTTTTTAAATGAACCTAGATTCTAGGTAGGAGTGTAAATTAGAAAATGGGAAATGGAAAGAGACTTATTCTGACCAGATGAAACCATATAAACGAGAGGGAATAACAGATACTATACTGTAAAGTGTCATATTTTTACATCAACTTGACTGAAAATGAGCACAAAAATTGTGGGAAATAACATTGAAAGAGTAATTTAGACCATATAATAGAATAAATTTAGTCTCAATCTCTGACAGTTTTTCCATTAAATAGAAATAGATGTACACATACATCTTTTACATATAAATTTAAATATTTATTATAAAGAAAGGTTTTGCAACAAATTTAAGTTGCCAGTATATAAGACACAATAATATTTATAAATAACAAATGAAAACAAATACATTCTACTATCTACTTTTATATTTTATTTATTATTATTATTATTATTGTATTATTAAAATTATTTTAATCCTCACCTAAGAACATATTCATTGATTTTAGAGAGAGGGGAAGGGGGAGAGAGAAAGATTGATGTGAGAGAGAAACATTGATTAGTTGCCTCCTGTATGTGTCCTAACCAGTGATCAAACCCACAACCTTTTGGTTAATGGGACAACGTTCTAACTAACTTAGCTATCCAGCCAGGGAGCCACTTCACATTTTAAAGTAATTTTTATAACTATAAAAACTTATAGTATTGTCTTATTCTAAACAGACAGAATTTTCTTATTTTTGTTTATATTCTGAATTTGCCATAAACATGTTTTCTAATACTTACTTCCTCTGGTCCTTAGCTCCATTATTGTTGTCTTTCATCTTATTGGTAATAATCAATACACAGTAATTCATTTTAAGTTCCATAATAAATTCATTTTTCTACATCATTGTAAAAGTTAGTTAACAATTAATGATAACATCAGCTCAACATAAGTAAATCCCTTTAATTACTGTCTTGCTCATTGATTAAGTTTAAAATATGGGCATTTAACTTTACTAAAATATTTTATTAATGTTCAAATAAACATAAACTGTAATGCTCTTTGTTTCATTAACAGCTAGTACCAAAGCAACACATTACATACGATGATGGTTAATGCAAAGAAACTTGCTCTGTTATGAAAGTGCACTGAGTTAAAACCCACTACCTCACCATCTTGCACACTGTGACCAGTGGTCAGTGACAGGGACCTCCCCATCACTGTGTTAAGCATTACGGTGGGAAGGCCAATCTTTTGCAGACCCCCACAGAATCTCTGGTTTCATTTCAAATCAACAGAAGTTATACAATTTATTTAATTGTTCATTTAAAAGGTTATTAGTTAGAAAGATGAATTCTGAGGAAGCTCATACTGTCAAAAAAAAAATGGAAAACTGAAAGGTGAATTAGCCACATCTTTTGGTTGAGGTTTATTACACAGGCATGAAATGTAAAGCTATAATCTAAAGTCATAGAATTATAAAATTGATGATAAAATTAAGAATCTTTTGCAAACAAAGTTTTTAGAGTTTCTGATAGATGCACGATTGCACGATTCTATTATCATCACACGCACCTCAACTGCCAAAGCTGCGTCTTTTTCATAGCATCGTGTGCTGGGTTGAACAGTGGCTCCTGAAGCTTCATGTCCACTCAGAACCTCAGCATATGACCTTGTTTGCAGATAGAATTAGTTAAGATAGGACCACACTGGATTAGAGTGGCCCCTAGTTCAATAACTGGTGTGCTTATAAGAGAGAAACTCAGAGAGACACGGAAAAAGCATGAGGAGAAACCATGAAGACAGAAGAGACACAGAGAGCAGAAGGCC